TCTATATATAGGTAAGAAATTCCTAGTAATTGCAAAGTGTTACAAGTAACAAGAAGGATTCCTTGACGCGGGACGAGTGGCAGAGGACCTATGGATGTCCACGTCAGAAGGTAATGATCAACGCGGGGCGAAGATCACGTGATCGGCATCCCGCCAAGACAAGACATCTCGCCAAGAGGGCAGATGCCACGACATCGCAAGATGCCAGGACATCTTGGACATCTGTAGATGCCAGGCCTTTCTAGAGATGCCACAGATGTCAGGACCGAGAACAATGGGTATAAGAATGTGTTGGATTTCATTATTACACTCGTTGTGGTCAATTCTCTCAATAGTTCATCTCTTACCCAGATTGATACTAGTTATTCTACCTTAGTAGAATTGATTGTTTGCTCTTTGGTTAAATCCTATAACTCTTTTCCACATAGCACTTCGCAAACAATCTCACGGACTACCGCTTTAGTCTACTCGCCCTAACCCGGACCAAGACCAGAGAAGTATAGCCGAACCCCGTGTAACACTTTGACCACCACCAAGTCTTTGTGGAAGGATTAACCAACAGGTCGCCCGATTAAGATTCAAGATGTCTCACAATCACTCTCAATCCCAGGCAAGCAATGGTGGACCAGTACAGGAACCTGCACTAGCACCACGACCAGCAATCGACGACGAAATGCTGACCCCGAGTGACGACGAAGAAGACGACGAAGACGCACGAAACTTACGAGAGTTGCGGAATCTTAGGCGACAGGCCACGATCACGCAGCAGCAGATGGCTAGCATGCAAGATATGATCAATCAGCTTTCAAGCCAGCTGACGGCCACCTCGAATGAAAAAAAGGTGTTAAAGAAACCCAAGATGGCGCCACCCGAGAAGTACGAAGGAGGAAGATATGAGCTACGACCATTCCTCACCAACATGGACCTATATTGCGAATTCAACGAAGTTCCGACCGACCAAGGAAAGATCCTCATGGCCAGTACCTATATGAAAGGAAGGGCAGCGAACTGGATTCAACCATACGTAGAAGATTACGTATCGAACAGCGCAGACCAAGGTACTAGGGCTGAGACACAGTCCCTATTCGCTAGTTAGAAACACTTCAAGGAAGAGATGGGACGCATCTTTGGGGAAGTAGACGCCAAGAACCAGGCAGAGAAAGCGATAACTCGCCTGAAGCAGACCAAGTCAGTCTCGACGTATACGGCAGAATTTAAACAGCTACAGGCAAGAATCGATTGGGATGATGCTGCGCTACGAACTGTATTCGAGGCAGGACTGAAGGAAAATATAAAAGACGGTCTTGTACACCATGAAAAGCCAACAACGCTTCACGCTCTGATAGAGCTAGCCACGCGAATCGACCACAGGCTGTGGGAACGATATGAACAGAAAAAGACGTTCCAGCCCACGACGGCCAATATGAAGAAGCAACGCAACCACAAAGACAGGGATGGGGACACCATCATGACTGGCAAGGTGCAAGAAAACAAGAACCAGAACACCCGAGGAAGGGGCTAGGATGGCCTTTCTAAGGAAGAACGCCAGAAGCGTTACGAAAAGAAGGCATGCCTCCAATGCAGTGAAGTAGGACACTTCCGCAGAGATTGCCCAAAAAACGAAGTCAGGCAAGGTCAAATCAAGATCGGGATGATCAGGAGTGGGACGCCTTACCCACCAGTCACGGAACCCGACGACAGCCTTAGTGACTTGGACTTGTACGAGGAGGCGCGCCAAGAGAGCGACGAGGCCTTCGAGATGGTACAAGAAGCTTTAGGAGCCAAGAATGTCCAATGGGACATACCACAAGAAACAGATTGGAAGATTGACGGGGCTGAGATTCAGAGCCGCCTAAGGAATCACCAATGCTGGGTCTGCGGAGACGCCGCACACCAGGCAGACGATTGCCATCAGCGGGGACGTATCGCGATTACGGGCCCTAACGCTGAAGAGATCGGGTATCAAGCGATTCACGAACAACCACGCTTCGAGAGCCCCAAAGCTCAAATTGAGGAACGAAACCCTTACTTGTTTAAGGCACGCATGACGCAACACAAAGATTTGCACTAGGTTAACTGCAGCTAGAAGAAATGCAAGAAGCATTACCAGGAAAAGCAGAAATCAAGAAAAAACGACAATGACTGTTGCCACACACATCTAGAGACATATGAGTGTCTAGTGGAGCAATGTCATATCCATGGACCCGAGAAGCAAGATCGAGCTCACCAACGGCTGTGTTGGGTGAACTGCGAAAGCATGTGTCAGTATCACAGGACGCAGTATAAGGAAGCCTTGAACCCGACCAGCTATTACCACGGGACGGTAAACGCTGAGGAATGTAACGCAACGGAATGTCGTATGCATCGAGACCGGCAGTCGGAAGTCACGACATCTCGGATGCCGAAGCAACAAGTCAAGGATAGTGAAGAGCGTCATGAACTCTTGCACTGGTCCTTCTGCTACAACGACTATTGCACAATACACCAAGACGCCAAGTACGGCGCAGGCTACTTTCCTAGACAGAGGAAGAGTAGGCCGACAAAAAACTAGGATGCCGCCAGGGACAGGGTCACGCTGGTGAAGGCAGTCCTAAAACGACCCTCAAGGAAGTCAAGAGCGTAGGCACGCAGGACCTTAGACTTCGAACAAATGTCTTAGTAAACGGACATAGGATGACAGCGACCATAGATAGTGGTGCTGCACGAACAATGATCTCACCCCGAGTGGTGGAGAAATACGACATACCCCATCAGGCCAAGAAGGTGCCGATGCGAGTGGTATTAGCCGACGATAATCCCATGGCATACGGAACGGCATGATCAGGCTACGAGACC